CCATTTCAAATGCTTTTATCTACATCATGATCACCACATGAAGTATCCAAATATATTTATGCAAGAACAAGCCTGTACAAAACATAACATACTGATTTCCTGTTCAAGCTGTTACTTTTGAATTAAAATATTAAAAATCAAGTATGCTGAAAAATCTCTGAAGGAACGGATACCTCATTTTCCTTCAAAAGAAGAAAATACTAATATTATTACTTCAATAAATATGTTATACCCAAATTCAAATTATTTTATTAGACCCTTTACTCAAAAATTAAACATGTGCTCATGACTTGAAGAAACATGAAAGGAAAAATAATATGCATTAATAGTGCACAGTGTCCATGCTTTTCCAATTTCCTTTATAGGAAAAGCTTTAGAAAATTGCTTTTTGGAGATTTGGCAAATTATATTTATTTTAAAATGAATCTCATTTATGGAGATTGACAATTCCAGGTGATACCCTCATTGAAAGTGCATTTCCTAATTGCTTTCAATGATTATTTTTGGCATGTCAGTGAAATATTAAAAAAAAAAAAACAGTTAATTTAACTCTTTTAATGTAGGAATTATTTTATATACTAAGTTAAAAAATGGTAAGACTGAAGTTAAAAAAATTTATCATAATTTTGACACTAAGGGCAGAACAAATACTTAAAATATTAAATAACAAACTATTTTTTGATAAAATTTCCATGTGAAAAATCTTAAAAAATTCTGTCACTGATCATATGTATTTCCTATCTTTTATTACTGAAGTCATCAATGCTTATTAAAAAAATTCTATTTTTTTACTTAGCCTATACTTAGCATACATAAAGCTCTGGGATCAGACCCAGCACCAACAAACAAACAAATCTTGTTATCTAGGTAACAGTGACCTGAGGCAAAGTAAAGCAACCTGTGATGTGGAATGCTGTAGTGACACTACCTCCTAAGTACTAAGAGGGACACCCGTCCTCAAGCTCCAGAACTTAAACCAGCACATTAACTTGAGTACGGTGTTAGTGTTTAAGAGGATTTTAAATAAAACTGCATCTTTGAAATTTAACAGACAGAGTGTCTCAAAGCAATATTTAGCTAATCAAAACATTGACACAGCAGTACAGAGAAAACTATAATTTATGAGTATTCTTGGTTCTGGGAGTTGGCAAAGTGGATTGAGCTACCAAATGAGTTTATAAGAGTGTTGTTTATGATAATCTCTCTGTCAGACCTTTAAAAATGGTACAATTTTTTTTGTTGTTTTTTAGTAGTGAGAACTAGGCCTCACTCTATTTTGAAATGGACAATTCTAAAGATAATACTCAACCAATTCTATTTTCTTAAACACACACCTGAGCTGTTTCACTCACCAACACGTGCAAACACAGGAAAGAATGAGGCCTTCCCAGTTAAGCAACGTGTGGACAGTGTTCTCACGGGTGAGCAGGTCTGCTTGGGTAGCTAAGAGACTCAGAAAGTCACCCAAGACTCCTAACAAACCAAATCAAAAGGAAGCTTCTTAAAAAAAAAAAAAAAAAAAAAAAAAAAAAAAAAAAAAATAGAAAAAAACTCTCCACTGAGGTTGGGTTTTAAAAATGTTTTGCTTTTAACGTTATTTTTAAAAGAAAAACATGGCACTTTAGCATTAGGCAGTTAAAAATGGTTATTTACCCCTCCTTATATCTCAAGCCCAAGACTTCAAGCTTCAGCACCTACATTCACTTCCCTAGTCTTTCCTCTTGGACTGAGAAAGAGCAGTTCTGAAGTTAGCTTTCAGTCTGCTGATATCTGGGGTACCATTCTGTGACACATGGAATTCCTTAGACGGTAAAATTCTGATTTGGTGTAAAATTCACATTGTGAAAACTCAAAAAATACACTTCTAAGTTGATGTTTCCAGATAAGGAGTGAAGGTGGAAGAGAAAAATGAAATGGGACGCTGTTAACTGCAGTCTGCCATTCAGTGGGCTCAGGGTCTCACTCTTGATCACTAGTAAATCCTGGCCATAAGCCTTCCCTGGGCCAGAAAGAAAGCAAGGAAATTTATTTCTCTTCTCTATTGCACAATTATTAAACATTTCCATTTTTGAAGTATAAATTCTAAGCATTCTAAACATTATGAATATTTACTTCCTTATTCTGAAATTTTTAGTTAAAATAAGAAGCGGTAAGGTTGCAATACATTTTAAGTCTATACCAAGAAGTCCAAGCACAAAATTAAACATAAAAGGTACATTAACCTTTTTGGTTCTTAATACATGGAGCCTTCAAATTACAATTTCCTGATTACTTTTTAAGCAAGCAGGTTAAGAATGTTTAATGCATGTCCAATTATACTTCTAACAAGTAAAAATTCTACTGATTATAAAACTCTGTTGGTGCCATATTAGCCTAGGATTTTTACTATGATATAGGAAATGAGGGGATGGAAGAAGGGACTTTCTTGATAGGGAGTTATCTGAGTGAAGAATAATACATAAAGTCAAGGCTGCGAAAAATCTGAAACTGGGAGTTGTAAAGAATAGGGTTATTATGATTAAGACATTTAAAAACTAACTTATTTGAGGAAGTAGAAGTATTAACTATTGCAGGAAATTATGTAATTGTTTAAAAATTTTTTCCTCATTTCTCCAGATCAACAAACACAGATATCACAAGGTATGATTTTTTTAAATTAATCATTGAAACGTATAAAAAACAGCAGTAAAGTCACTTGCTGTGTTGGGTATGTGCTTATCATCAGTGTGGGTCTTTCGGAATGATGAACATGCCTTTTATTAATGTCTTAAAATCAAGTTTGTTTAAAAAAAAAAAAGCTCTTCTATTTTAGGAGAGTTCATTTTACCTTTGATGAAATTAATGAATAATGAACACTTCCCTTCTGTTATCGCATTCCACAATATTTTAAGGAAGTTTTGAAATTCACAAGTCTACTTATGTTAATCAATGTCACCATCCTTCTTACATGTTTATAAAAGAGAGGCTTCCTAGATAGGCCTGTTTTTGCAGCTGCTGAAATGTACTTGCTCTGGATATGATACCAGCTTCCAGTTTCATCAGCTGGGAACCACACAAGAGCAAATGAAAAGCACTCAGATGTAAATAGTTCTAAAGTGAACTTTTAAAAATAAATTTAATCCTGAAGTACAGTTCATTGGGGTTGGAAATAGACACTTTTTTTTGGTTAGAAAAGAAAGGAATACACCACAATGAACTGTAGACTGCTCCACAGCTTTACGTAGGCTGGTTGAAATGAATACATAGTGTCATTTCAAACCTAGTGCCTTCTGTGGCCATTGCTGTGATTGATGCCATATTCACATGTGAGGGCTACTCTGAGTCAATAGATGGCAGTCCATCGCCTAGTAAAAGAACTGGAGATGGCTAAAACCAGCATGCAGTTTGCTTTCACTCAATATTTAATACTGCTTAATTAAGGTAGACATTCACATATTGTTCATATAGTGATGAGGCAATTTAAATAATTAGAAATTGATATATTTTAGATGGACTGGTAAAGTGCTTACACATTTATAAGCATACTAGTTTTACAGTTATTCTTGAATAGTAATTCATTGTTTATTAAAACTTGGTAGATGTGAATTACAATGATTCTTCAACATTTTCTGAAAGTTTCCAGATATGGAAAGTTTTCAAACTGAATGTTATTCTTACAGATAGGATAAATTATATTTTAATAAAGGTGAATTTATTTTCTTCACTTCAAAAGATCTGTACTCTTTTTATAATTTGTTTCTGAAAAGCTAAAAAATATTCAACAAATCTTTAAGTATTTCTGTTACATTTGAAGATAATTTTCACCCTTCATTAATAGTCACATAAAATTCTTTAGTGGAAAAGCTAAAAGAATAGTCAAATTTACTATGATATTATTTAATAAGCTAATGAGTACTGCTGCACCATTATACAGAGACTCCATGATCTTGAGAAGTGTAAGAACAATTCTGTTTTCACCAGGTTTAGGCTATAAGGGCTTCACCATTATTCTGTTACCAAGGAACTGATACAATACCACAAACACAATCCATTGCATTTATTACATGTAGACATGTATTCAACTTTTATTTTCTATAACACTAAGGCTTTAAATAGACCTGCAGATACTATCCCAGGCACTGTGGCCCAGAGAGAAAATGGGAGATGAGTCTACCTGTTGGCTCACTTTTTATTTCTATAAGAGGAAAGCAGTATGAAGATATTTTTTCTTAACTGCCTCTTCTCTTTTCTGATCTTCTTTATTATACTCAAAACCCTTTTTATATTAACTTCAACAACTATTAATAATATTAAGTTATATAACTGTATAATGAAATGAAATTGTCTCTCAGCACAACTTGAGAATGAACAGTAAAGCAACAATGAACTACTGACATTGTTTAAGCTGGAGAATCAAAGTGAGCTGACTTCGTAATACTGGGCATCAGTCAACTGGATTGTATAGCAACATTTTCTGCTTTTACTAAGACTAAAATATTAATAAATCAGAGTTGAATAATTTGACTACTAAGCATGTATGTCAAGAGAGTTTTAAGGACAGGAGAGTTGAACTGTCCTATGAGAGGTACACTAAGTTTTTTCTAATCTTTTAAGAATGTATAATATCTCAGTAAAAGCAGAAAAATGACAATGGATGGTATTGTGGGCTGTATGCTTATGGACTGTGGTAACAATAGTCTAAAGGCACTGTATTATTACACTGCTTTATACATACTTTTCTCCTTTCATTTAACCAATATAGTCTAAGCCTGGGAGTATCACCATATAATCATTCAATGACGTGAATAATAAAATCATTTGAAATCTTTTAAAAATAGGAAAATAAAGGACAGGCAGTGGGAAGGAGAGAGGGAAAGGTGTATTACTGCTTTCTCAATATAGACTCTCCAGATGTTTATTATCTTGCTGCAGAAGATGCTTGTCTATATTTTATGGTCAGCAGTTCAGAGAAGGGTAAATAGGCTGGGTGTTGGGGAAAATAAAAAGGTGTTTTTACTCACCGTTAGGTGATACTGCCTCCAGATTTCTGGGCAAGCCTGGAAAATAAAAATATTGATCAGCTGGGAGCATGAAACAAGGTACTTTACAGCCTGTTGGTTTTGGCATAACCCAGCATCCACCGGTGTCGGTCACAGGAAAATAAGAAGCTTAACAGAAAGGGTCTGCATTTCAGCTTCAAAAACCTGGCTAGACAGTTTAATTGAATTTTACACTGGTTTAACACACTCCCTGCCATTGTCAGGAAGCCAGTAACAAAGTTTTCCTCCTCTCTTCCTTCTCAGGTTAGAAGTTTGGGTACTAAGGTGGGGTAAAGAGTCATAACTCAGTTAAACTAGTAAATCAAGAGCAGTGATCAAAATCTGTACAACTAACCAAACACATCTTTTAAAAGAGCATTCGGAACTTTGGAAGCACATCAGAAGGCAATTTTAAAGCAAGTGCTTCTCTAAGAAGCCCTCACTGTGTTATGTACTTATTTGTAATAGCTGCTGCTATCTTTTATCTAACCATGTGGTGCTAACTTAATACTTGATGAAAAAGAGAATTAAAAAAAAAAAAGCAAACCAAAACAACCCCCCCAAAAACCTCAAGTTTAAGTTCTTTCCATTAAATGCTAAAATTTTACACGTTCATATTTATAGAGGAATATTCTAAAAGCAAAACAATGAAACCTCAAAAATTCTATCAAAGACGAACTTACTGAAATCAGAATAGATAACAACAAATACTCGACAACAGTAACAAACACGGTAAGAGACTCTTCTCTGAGTCACACGTCAATCTCTTCATGGCAAATTATGATCTTGTTTAGGAAACACTGTCTCTAACAGCACTATTTAGCTCATCAATTGACCATCTTTGCAGAAACAGAATGCTGATGACAGCAACTAGGAATAGCAAAAATTCTACTGAAAATACCACATAAGTGGTTAGACAAAGATAGTATAACTCAGCTGGAAAAAACCCCCACATCTCATACACTCTAACTAGTTCATGCAATTTTCTATATAGAAGTGAGTAAATAAGAATGTCCAATAGTCAGCTGCCCAGTTTTAATGGCATATTAATAAAATGTAAAGTGTGTGAAAAATCCACTGCTTATGGCAATGGTTTCTGGATGAATAAAACTAACTAAAAAAAACTAAATTTACAAAATAAAAAGTAGCTTCAGGAGGCAAAGACAATGTTAGTAACAGATAAATAATACCTACAAAGTTGTCGGCTACAAAAGTTCTTAAGTACAAACATACTTACAAAGACCTAATGTATGATATATCTGTGAATATCCTAGTAAGCTTTTTGCTGTGTATATATAATTTGAGTTGGATTACTATTGAGATAAGCAAGCAGTTATTTATACATTAGTTATGGATAGTTCTTGATTACCACAGTATCCTCAGAATAATACGGTTGAAAAATCACAATCACTGAGTTGTTGTAGACTGGCAGAATGTCACTCTACCATGTGATCTTTGCTAGTATAGTATAGTAGCAATTTTGTAATAAAAAAAATTACTTGGTTTTTAAACAATCATTTGATTGCTTTGTAACAAAGATGATGACTTATACAGAAATTTAGTAGTGAAAGATTTGAAACTCCTTTTCTTTTATTAGACAATAGCACTGTAATTTAAAAATTCTTCCTGGCTATTTTCTAAGTAGCTTTACTTAGCATTCCTATGCACACCTTCCTTTTACTATTTTATACATAATACTATATAAAGTTAGAAAAGAGACTTCAAAGAAAGGGTCAACAGAAAGCAGATACATTTATTTAAATATGAAACATAACAGCACCATTCTTCAAAATTTAAAATCCTATTTTTTTTTTTTTACATGCTAAAGCTTTGGCAGTCACTTCTTCCTCTTCTTTTTAACATTACTTAGCATTATTCTACATACGTATTTTAAAATTTCTTACCAAAGCTTGGTCAATGTATTTTAAAATAAATTTCAAACTGAGTGAGTAGTGAGCTGTACAGCTCATTTCAAGTGAAAACGGAATAAAGCGCCATCAAAGCACAGCTGCATTACTGCCTCGGTCCTCTCCCATTACTGGCACTTAGGTAGACGGACCCACAGGGCGTCCTTAAGTCACACAACTGAGCACACAAAGCACACTTGTACATCTGTTTCTGCAATGTGGTACACTGTTTGCCAACTTTTGCCCAACTTGTTTTCCTGTCTATTGAATTTTGGATAATAAACATACATAAATAACTGATTGTTATTATTCATAAAATTCAAAGATGAATTAACACAGTTTGCCATGCCAGATGAATTGAGAGTTTATATTGTGCATTTCGACCCATATTGAATTTTATCAGGTGCTAATTATTGTTTTATGAGAACAACGGCTTAGGGCATCTGTTGTTTAATTCCCACTTCCCTATTCTCAAATGCGTACATCAAAGAAAATAAAACACTCAATCTTAAACAGCCCCTGACAGCAGACCAAGACTCAAGTGCTCAACAGACAAGGCCCTTGCCACCAGTTCTCATATTTCCACAACAATGAACAAACACAAAAACAGCACTAAGCGGCCTTTCTCCTCCTCAGCTCCCCTTGGCCAGTTGTCTGCCTTGTACTAGAGAGAGCCCTTGAACGCAGCCCTGCTGGGAACACAGCACAGGAGAAAGGATTAGCCTTACTAACATGCTAGCATTTGCAAAAGGGAAGGAAAAAAAAAAAAAAAAACCCTCAGTACTGTATTTGGTATATGAATAACCAAAATGTATGAGCTGACAAGAGACCAGGACAGGCCTGTGGCTCCCCGGGAGAAAATGTAGCTGTGATGAGTGACAGGGCTTTCAGGAAATATGTTCACAATCACAGACAGTGAAGGCCATGACCTAGATCGTTTAAGAGCTTGTCTTGTCAAATTATCAAAAGCTTCTTCCTCTCTGAATAAAGAGTGACATAAGTGAGTGTCAGAAAGCTGCAGGCTGACAAGCCAAGCATACAATAACAGAATGCACGTCACATACATGCTGAACACCGCCACTGCTAGCGGCAAATCTTAATGAGAGCGCGGCCAGCCCAGGAGACTTGGGTCCCTGCTGGCACAGCTACTCATCTCACAAAAATCCTTCAGCTCCAAGTCAGTTAGGCTCTGACACGACAACTACAATTACGAAACACAACTTTTTAACAGAACCCTCTGGTGCTTTGTCAAAGCCTCTGCTGTTAAGAGCTGGCCCCTTAAGTCACTGCAGCAAAACAAAAGATTTAATAAAACAAGCAATATTCAGGGATGGTGAATAACTTAAATAGAAAAAGCTAAAGAGAATAATTTTGTTTAAAATCTGTTGAATGAGAAGCGATGGCAAGAAAAATATGAGTTTCTGGATTCAACTATCAGTGTAATTCTCCCATATGTACATTTGTAGCGTTGTAGGCGCCTTCATTTCAAATGAATGACCCTATGCTGCAGCCTGGTCAACACACTCTTCATATAATGACTCTCAAGTCACCCAACTGTCCAAATACTTGGCCAATCACTGTGTATGCATGCCATCTCTCTGACACACAATGTGTTTGTTTCCTATTGCATACACACTGAGTATATGTGGGCTAGAATTTATCTTAGGGTGAAAAATTTAAGAGAATATTCTAACATTTACCCTAAATTAAAATTCTACATAAAAAAAACAGCTCTAAGGTCTAACATAACAGAAATCTATAATTAAAATTCAAGATGTTACTATTTTAAGGTTGCTTACAATATTTCTACCCTGGAATAAAAAGCTGGCTGCTCTTGGTAAAGAGAAGCTATAACACACATTAACAAATACATCTATACACATATACATCGCCTATGTGTGACAATACATATAGAATGTACATTTGTTTTTTTCGGCAGTCAGTATGAAAAGTCATTCATTGATTGATATCCCAAAGCTGCTTCCAAATTGAACCAGATTCCACAGTTTTATCCGAGGTCAAATTTTAAACCGACATGCTATATAGCAACACACTCACACATACTCAGTTCTCTTAAGTGACATTTTTTTTTTTTTTTTGAGGAAGATTTCTGTATAAGGAATCTCAAATGTTTCTGGAGATATCCTATGATTCCAGACTGATGCAAGTTCATTTTTACAAACAGTTGCTAATCTTCTAACACATGCTGTTTTTATCTAACGATACTGCAAGCAAAACAATAGAAGGAAATGAGGATAATGAATCATGAGAACACAACAGTTAAAATCAGCAAGCCAGAACCAAATAAATGGCTGGGTTCAAATCCTGGCCCTGTACTTATTGGCTTGGACAAATATAGACCCTGTGTCTCAGCTTCCTTATTTGTAAAACATGGTTTCTATGGCTCAATGGGCTGCTGTGATGGTGAGACTTGGTAAGAGTAATTCCTTAGAACAATGCCTGCTACATAGCGAGTGCTCAACTATTCTTAGTTAGTACTACAGTCACGTGAGATTGGCACTCTCTATACTTCCATTGGAGCTCTATGGTCATGGACAAATGGACATTAACAAGGCAGCCGAGACTCCACTGGATAGTGGTTAGCTCTTCTTTGTGGTCAAGCTTAGTAGAAAGGCAAAGACTCACAAAAACAAATCAAAAAGGAAAGGATAAACTAGATTTTTATTTAGTTGTATCCACTGTGGCTCCTTCACAGTGGAAAAAAAAATTAAATTGATGAGCACCTAAGATATTCAGATGAGGTTTTCAAAAATACACAGAAAAGAATATTGGATCAGATAATATCTGACATTGTATCTTACAACTAACTCCCACAACAAAAACATTAAAATATTTTGGCCACTTATGAAAACCCAAAGCAGTCCACTCTATTCGCAAAGTGACATATCCCTGCTCAATTTACTCAAACTTAGTTGACTTCTTTTCGTTACAATGTTGAAACAATAATACTCACAGCATTTTTACAAGTTCTTCCTTTTGAACAGTAACCAGAGATTTCCACTAGGGAAGGAGAAACTTGGAAGACAAATCCTTGTCATTCTGAAGATTTATATGGATGGTACTCTAGTAAACATAGAATAATGTACACAG